GAGCGCAGAGGCTCAGGCAGGAGCGCGGAGGCTCAGGCCGGAGCGCAGAGGCTCAGGAGCGAAGAGGCTCAGGAGCGCAGAGGCTCAGGAGCGCAGAGGCTCAGGAGCGCAGAGGCTCAGGAGCGTGGAGGCTCAGGAGCGCGGAGGCTCAGGAGCGCGGAGGCTCAGGAGCGCGGAGGCTCAGGAGCGCAGAGGCTCAGGAGCGCAGAGGCTCAGGAGCGCAGAGGCTCAGGAGCGCAGAGGCTCAGGCAGGAGCGCGGAGGCTCAGGCCGGAGCGCAGAGGCTCAGGAGCGCACAGGCTCAGGAGCGCAGAGGCTCAGGAGCGCAGAGGCTCAGGAGCGCAGAGGCTCAGGAGCGCAGAGGCTCAGAAGCGCAGAGGCTCAGGAGCGCAGAGGCTCAGGAGCGCGGCGGCTCAGGAGCGCGGCGGCTCAGGAGCGCGGAGGCTCAGGAGCGCAGAGGCTCAGGAGCGCGGAGGCTCAGGAGCGCAGAGGCTCAGGAGCGCAGAGGCTCAGGAGCGCAGAGGCTCAGGAGCGCAGAGGCTCAGGAGCGCAGAGGCTCAGGAGCGCGGAGGCTCAGGAGCGCAGAGGCTCAGGAGCGCGGAGGCTCAGGAGCGCAGAGGCTCAGGAGCGCAGAGGCTCAGGAGCGCAGAGGCTCAGGAGCGTGACTCAGGAGCGCAGAGGCTCAGGGACGCAGAGGCTCAGGAGCGCAGAGGAACAGGAGCGCCAGAGGCTCAGGAGCGCAGAGAGCTCCAGGAGCGCGGAGGCTCAGGAGCGCGGAGGCTCAGGAGCGCAGAGGCTCAGGAGCGCGGAGGCTCAGGAGCGCAGAGGCTCAGGAGCGCAGAGGCTCAGGAGCGCGGAGGCTCAGGAGCGCAGAGGCTCAGGAGCGCGGAGGCTCAGGAGCGCAGAGGCTCAGGAGCGCAGGGCTCAGGAGCGCAGAGGCTCAGGAGCGCAGAGGCTCAGGAGCGCAGAGGCTCAGGAGCGCAGAGGCTCAGGAGCGCAGAGGCTCAGGAGCGCGGAGGCTCAGGAGCGCAGAGGCTCAGGAGCGCGGAGGCTCAGGAGCGCAGAGGCTCAGGAGCGCAGAGGCTCAGGAGCGCAGAGGCTCAGGAGCGCGAGAGGCAGAGGCTCAGGAGCGCGGAGGCTGAGGAGCGCAGAGGCTCAGGAGCGCAGAGGCTCAGGAGCGCGGAGGCTCAGGAGCGCAGAGGCTCAGGAGCGCGGAGGCTCAGGAGCGCAGAGGCTCAGGAGCGCGGAGGCTCAGGAGCGCAGAGGCTCAGGACGCGGAGGCTCAGGAGCGCAGAGGCTCAGGAGCGCAGAGGCTCAGGAGCGCGAGGCTCAGGAGCGCAGAGGCTCAGGAGCGCGGAGGCTCAGGAGCGCAGAGGCTCAGGAGCGCAGAGGCTCAGGAGCGCAGAGGCTCAGGAGCGCAGAGGCTCAGGAGCGCGGAGGCTCAGGAGCGCAGAGGCTCAGGAGCGCAGAGGCTCAGGAGCGCAGAGGCTCAGGAGCGCAGAGGCTCAGGAGCGCAGAGGCTCAGGAGCGCGGAGGCTCAGGAGCGCAGAGGCTCAGGAGCGCGGAGGCTCAGGAGCGCAGAGGCTCAGGAGCGCGAAGGCCCGGTTTCCCATCTCGGATTCCCAGTTTCCCGGTTTCCCGGTTTCCTGGCTCCCCCGGTTCCCCGGTTTTCTGGTTCGCGGTTCCCGGTTTCCCGGTTTCCCCTTTCCCCAGTTTCGCGACTTACCAGTTTCGCGGTCGACCCCTGCATCTCACCCCGCTTCTGAACTCCTGTTTGGGCAAGGTCCCATGGCCATGGGGGTACACCCGGACGCCCCGCGAAATCCTCGGGATCGATCCATTTCTCGAACCGCGAAGCGCGAGTCCTCGCGCATCTCCAGCTGCAATCTGAAGACCTGAGCGCCACGGCCCGAAACGCCGTGGAGCCGAAATGAGAAAGCCACGAAACCGGCGTCTGGGCTGTTCGTTTTCAGATCCCCTGCGAAAAGTGACTAACTTTTAGTGGGTTAAATGGAAACCCAACCACTAAATTTAATAAAAGTCTAAAAAGCTAAGGAACCGGATGGCTGGGAACCACCACACCATGAGATGGTCCTTTGCAAACATCGGAGGGCAAACACCCACGCAGATGACGGTGGCGTCCCGCCTGGCTTGCTTGGCCGCCCCCTCATTCAAATGTGGAACAACACTTATTTGTTGAACCTTTGCTTACACACACACACACAAACAAGTGTACTCATATCCAGCAGATTCTGATTTGAGGCGCGCTACTTGATATCATTCCAAAACCCAAGTAGATCTGAACACGCTTGCACGCATCTTTGTTTTCCAAAGATGTAAGAACCACTTGCAGTACAAGGGCTCGTTCGCTATGCAACCAAAGACTGAGGCCCCCCGCCCACAAGCCCGGATTAATTTGACAAATGCTCTTTGAATGATCCCAGACCGTTTTGGTGAATTTTGCTGGTGTGGGATGTTTGGGGCAACCTGCGAGCTCCGCCGTGAAACGGGGTAGGCAGTGGAACTGTCTCTTGCTGCTGGCAGGACATCCTCAGAGCAGCCCCGGGGCAGCCCTTGTTGTGTTGGCAGTGCTGAGTGTCTTGCTGGCGTAGCCTGCGGCTTTGCTTGCATGGGTATATTCAGGGTGACCCTCTCTCCGGCAGACTCAGAGTAGCCCTGGCAGCTTGGAGTGGTGACGTGGTGGGCGCAGTGCGTTGGTTGCTTGGCCGGGCTAAAGAGGTGCAAACGTGATCCAACTTAGCTAGCCGCCCCACTCCCAGGCGGTGTAAAACGAAAAACACAGACATAGCCTGTTCGTTACCAAAGCAACACTGAGCAAAACCCATTTCGGGAGAGAGAAACGGAAAAAAAAAACGAGGCACAACATGGCCCCACCTGGGGGTTTGGGCTTTCGGGTCCCAAGCCGAGAAGTTCAAGACCCCAATGAAGCTGGCAGCTTAGACCACGGCCTAGCTCAGTCAAATTGGATCCTTGGCATGTGTGTCTCGTGTCAACTTGTAGCATAGGGAAGTTGGCAACCCCTCCGAATTCCGAACAGCACCCCTTCCCAGTTTAACCTTGTCCTCACCGTCTGGCGTCCTTCCCCCCCCACTTCCCCCACTTCCCCCACTTCCCCCACTTCCCCCCCTTCCCCTCCCCACTTCCCCCCGCTCCCCCGTCCCCCCTCTCCCCACCCCGCGAAACCCGCCTTGCCCTCAGCGGGCTGGCGCGCGGCCGCCAGGATACGCATGAGCTGCAGCGCCGGCCGCTCGGGGCCTTTGCTCTCATAGGAAACCCAACCGGGCCAAGCGCCCGGTCGATTACAACCATATGGCTTAAGAATCAAGAATTCGAACCCTTCACGGTACCCACAAAACACTTGCCAAGGGGTGAGGTGATTCCAACCTCGCTGCAACTTGAGTATGCTTCCTAATGGGGCACCTTTTGGTAAACTGGACATCAGGGACGAATGATTTTACCAACCATTTAAGGTGCGCCCGACAAAGATATTCTTGCCCACAATAATCAACATTCCCAATTCAAGTGAAGGTCTGTCCCCCTTCCCCCATTTGTTTCTCCAATTCATCATTAAAATGGGCGCGTATGTTCACCAACCATCTGTATGGGTGCATCTTTGTTAGGGACCCCCCCCCCAAATGGCTGCAGTTTTCCACTTGGTTTTCCTCTACCGGCCAAAAAACGGGGCACCGATTCGTCATCCCCACCTTTCACCGCCGCACCCCGGGCCCAAAAATCTCCACCTCGCCCGACGGCATCGCGACTCGCGACTCCGAGGCGCAGAGCGTGCGGCGCTGCTCGTTCAGCAAGATCCGGGCGGTTTCCGCGGCCTCCTGGAGCTGAAGAAGGGAATCCGGGAGCTGAGATACCCCACTCCAAATTCCCGCTTTTTCAGGGCACTTTTGGGAAAACCGATCGGTGTTCCAGGGTAAATACCTCTCCCTCTTTAGTAGAGGGTCGACATGGTACCCTGAAAAAAGAGGGAATTTGGAGTAGGGGGTAACGACAAACATACCCATGCCTTTTGGTTCGGGTGAATCTCGCATGCATGAAGGGACCAACCAGAAATGAATAGGTGCGGCCGAAATCGGAAAACCGTATAATGCGCCACCAAAGTCTGACACAAAAAAAAAAGCTCAAGTGACATCCCCTAACAGCATGCGGTGCTCTTTTTTGTGCTCGCACCACCCCGCAGCCCTCGCAGAACCTCGTGGAACGGTGGTGGAACCCTGGTGGAACCCTCGTGGAAACTTACCTCAGGGTCGCCCCGGACCACCCCGGAACCTATCTGTGCTGAGACCCCAAAGCTTTCAGCTGTTGGAGACCAACAAACAAACCAACCAACCAACCAACAAACAAACAAACAAACAAACACAAACAAACAAACAAGCAAACAAACAAACAAACAAACAAACAAACAAACAAACAAACAAGCAAGCAAGCAAACAAACAAACAAACAAAACAAACAAACCAACAAACCAACAAACCAACAAACAAACAAACAAACAAACAAACAAACAAACAAAACAAAACAAACAAGCAAACACACAAACAAAACAAACAAACAAACAAACAAACAAACAAAACAAACAAGCAAACACACAAACAAAACAAACAAACAAACAAACAAACAAACAAACAAACAAACAAACAAACAAACAAACAAACAAACAAACAAACAAACAAACAAACAAAACAGCTTGGCAACCAACCAACGAACCACCCAAATAAACCAACAAACAAACCGACAAACAAACGGCAAACGCACAAACAAACACACAAATAAACAAACAAGCAAGCAAGCAAGCAAACAAACAAACAAACAAACAAACAAAACAAACAAACAAACTGAAACAAACAAACAAACAAACAAAACAAAACAAAACAAACAAACAAACTGAAACAAACAAACAAACAAACAAAACAAACAAGCAAACACACAAACAAAACAAACAAACAAACAAACAAACAAACAAACAAACAAACAAACAAAACAAACAAACAAAACAGCTTGGCAACCAACCAACGAACCACCCAAATAAACCAACAAACAAACCGACCAACAAACGGCAAACGCACAAACAAACACACAAATAAACAAACAAGCAAGCAAGCAAACAAACAAACAAACAAACAAACAAAACAAACAAACAAACTGAAACAAAAACAAACAAACAAACAAAACAAAACAAACAAACAAACTGAAACAAACAAACAAACAAACAAAACAAAACAAAACAAAACAAACAAGCAAACACACAAACAAAACAAACAAACAAACAAACAAACAAAACAAACAAACAAAACAGCTTGGCAACCAACCAACGAACCACCCAAATAAACCAACAAACAAACCGACCAACAAACGGCAAACGCACAAACAAACACACAAATAAACAAACAAGCAAGCAAGCAAACAAACAAACAAACAAACAAACAAAACAAACAAACAAACTGAAACAAACAAACAAACAAACAAAACAAAACAAAACAAACAAACAAACTGAAACAAACAAACAAACAAACAAAACAAAACAAAACAAAACAAACAAGCAAACACACAAACAAAACAAACAAACAAACAAACAAACAAAACAAACAAACAAAACAGCTTGGCAACCAACCAACGAACCACCCAAATAAACCAACAAACAAACCGACCAACAAACGGCAAACGAACGCACAAACAAACAAACAAATAAACAAACACACAACCTGAGCTCCTAAAGGCCACTCACATGCCCTTGAGGCTTATAAAGTGAGCTCGAACACGCGCGCGAGCCAACACCCGGGACTCCTTGGCCTCCTTCCAGTGACTTGGAACAAGCAGCTCGGCATCATCTGCAGCGCCTCAGTGGCGGATCTCACGCTTAGGTCCTCCAGTAGAGAGGTTGGAATAAGGGTACCTTGTTTTTTTGGCTTTTTTCCGTTGTCTATTTAGGGGAACCCTCCCCCAAAAAAGAAACGGTAAAAGTCGGCACTGGGGGACCTAGTCGCGCAAGAAGTGGCCCACTTTCGCGCTGGCAAAGGGCTGGCAAAGGGCCTGCTACCAGCACCCGCCCGCCCCCCGCCTTTTTCCCAGGTTTCTGCTTTTTCAAGCATGTCCCAAATTTTAGTGTCCAACAAGCAGGGGGTGGGGCGCTGGTACAAGTGAGGTTTCTTCAAGAAGATTCTCCTGTACCCCGGACCCTGGCCTCCGGGTCTGCAATTTTGCATTCCCGTCCGGGTCTCAACCATTCCCCCCCGCCCCCCACCCAAAATCATAGTTTTTGTTTTGTTGGTTTCCTTTTAACAAGCCCAGCAACATGGCTCCATCCAAAAACCACCTAGGTCCTCCAGTAGACTTTGGTTCGAACAAGGCTACCAATTTTTTCTGTCTAAATAGGGGAACCCTCCCCCCAAAAAAAGAAACGGTTTTCAGGCCGCTACTCGGGGACCTAGGCACTCAATCCCAACACATGGAATTTTAACCCCTTGGGCCCTCGGGGCGAGGAGCTGAAGAGGTTGCAGGCCTGTGGGTGCACCCGGGTGACCTGGCTTCGCCGAAGATCCCATGACACTTTGACCAAAACCAGCTCCAAAACATCGGCTCAACAAAAGCTCGAAAAAAAAGAAGCAAGCAATGGATTGTGCCATCCTTAGAAGCTCTATGCATCTATGGACTGCAGGACATTTTCTTGAGCTTCTAATGACGACAAAATCCATTGAGACGCGGTCTGGAAAGGGTCCAGCAATATATTATGGCACCCAGTGATCTGATTCGAAGGATGGGGGGCCCTGTTCGAGCTCGCAGAACAAACGCAAAACGACTTCCCAACTCAAAGAGGATCCTTGAGGGAGCTTCCCCATTCGGCTCGCACGCGTGAGCTTGTGCTATTTCCAAGGAGTCTCAATGTGAGGCACCTTCCTTCCAGGGATTCTTAGGCGGTGCCCAAGAGGATTTCTTCCATGCACAGTTCTAAGGCCTTCCGTGACTTTCGAAGAAAAAAAAAGCTCAGGTTGTGGTATGTGCGTGTGTGTGTGTGTCAAAGCAATGTTTGGACTCGACAAAATATGGTTTTCAAGGGGCCTATTTGGACAAAGAGACAAACGGACATACAGAGAAAGTGGAAGAGACACGGAGAGAAGATAGAGCGAGAGAAAGAGAGAGAGAGAGAGAGAGAGAGCGAGGGAGAGAGAGTGAGAGAGTGAGAGGGAGAGACAAACCACAGAGAAAGAAGCAAATAAAATAAGAAAACATAAACAAGTAAAAAAACGAAAGACAGAAAGAAAGAGAGAAAGAAAGAGAGAAAGAAAGAAAGAAAGAAAGAAAGAAAGAAAGAAAGAAATAAATAAATAAAGAAATAAATACATAAATAAAGAACTAAAGAAAGAACAAAAAGAAAGACATGAATAAAGAAAGAAAGAAAGAAAGAAAGAAAGAAAGAAAGAAAGAAAGAAAGAACAAACAAACAAACAAACAAACAAAGAAACGAACAAACGAAACAAACAACAAGACAAACAAACAAGCAATCAAGCAGGCAAACAAACAAACAAGTAAATCAAACCGCGAAGAAAAGCAGAAAGCAAATCAATACAGAAACAAATAAGCAATAAGCAACGACAAAGCCAATGAAAACCACAGAGAAACAAAGAAACCAACAGAGACACAACGCAAACAAAACAACACCACAAACAAACAAACAACACCACAAACAAACAAACAAACAAACAAACATACAAACCAACCAACCAACCAACCAACCAACCAACCAACCAAGCAAGCAAGCAAGTAAACAAGCAAGCACACACGCACACTGCCATGTGTGAATTACGCATGAGAGACGCCCCAGTATTTGAAAGAGCTGCCCAAGCTCAATCCAGCGCAAGACCAGCATCTACCTATATTCGACCAAACACAGCATAGCAAACATTCCAAATCTTCCTAATTAACACAATCATGTGGATTACTGTTGCTGCCGGAACAGTTCACACATGACTGCCAACATGAAACATCCGTCCTAGCAACCTGCTCGGATCTCTACTTGCAGTGACAACTTCGACCCCTGACTCCAAACGCGTCTGGGATACATGTGAGAGCCCTGGGATCTTTCTATAAAACTGTTCCGTCCAAAACCACAGCTCTTTTCCAAAGGCCCCCGGGCGCTTGTCTGCTTCTAATGACGAGGCTGGCAACATTGGCAACTCGAGATGCTGAGGAAGATCTTCTGAACTGATGTCCCAAACTTCCCGAGCAGGAAAAAGGTCACGGATCATCCCTTTCCCATAGCAAATACGATTTCTCCACCCACCCTTGATCAGCTTCCCTCCAGTTGGTGAATCGGTTTGGTGGTTTTGAGGTGTTCCAGGGGTGGTTTCACATTTTGCCTCTATAACACCAGACTTAAGAGACAGGTCACAGGAGTTCCGCACCCTTCGCTCCAATCTGCGCCCCGACGAGCCGATCTTTGACCCGCAACTTGCAGCAACACTTTAAATGACACCACTCAAGGCATGTTATTTTCGTGAATTCAATCTTGAAAGGCTCACTTGAAGCTACTGTACATGTTGTGAGTACAATTTCAATCTGGTGGAGGCGTTGGGACTGAACAGTGCGCGACGCTCTCAGCTCTGTTGGCCAATATTTGGCAAGCCAGCTCTTTCCTTCAACAGGGAACCCACAATCCAAAAGCACCTGGAAGAGTAGGCCTCCAACTCGCAATCAAAAACCTCTCTCCTTCGCACGGGCTGTTTTTGTTGGGTTCACCATCCACAAATGTGTCACCCACCGTGCCTAGGTCCTCCAGTAGAGAGGTTAGAATAAGGGTACCAACTTTTTTCTGTCTATTTTAGTAGGGGCACCCTCCCAACCAAAAAAGGTGAGAGAAGGGCACTACTGGGGGCAGGTGCTCTCCCACCCCAAGCCACACCCACACCTGGAAGATGGAGAGGTCCGTGATGCGATGCAAATGCGCCACCTCAATCTCTACCGAGCTCCTTGGCTCACAGGGACCCTCTGCTGCCATTTGCTTCTTAAGCCCCCTGGAAAAAAGAGAAAACTCTGTCCGGTAGTGATAGATTCCCTTTAAAACCAACAGGGGAAATAAATATGTAAAAAAATACGCATTCAGCAAATGGAAGGCAGAGGTCCTTCCACTTTCAACATCTGCGCAAAGCGAAGCAGCTCCAAGCCGCGTGGCGCACCAAGCACTGAGGATGCTTTCGCACCTACGCCAAGATGTCCAAATTTTCAAGGGCCTTTCTGGGTTTGAGGCCGTGACAGTTCGCAACTTCATGTTAATTCGGTTGCTTTCTGCTCCCCTGCTAAAAAGCATAACTTTTTCTGGTTTAGTGGAAAACCCATTAGTTGGCAAAAAGTTAACGTCCTAACCGCCAAGCAAAATGCACCAAAGTCAATGTGCTTGGCAAGCTTCGGCACAAACTTGTTGGTCGGCTTCAGAAGCATCTTGTACACGGAGTATCCTTCCTTGGGATCGAAAGTCTGAATCCCTCTGAAAGTGTCCACTTCGAAATGGATCTCATGTTGCAAGCCTTGCAACCACTCGACTCCTTTCATAACGCTGATTTGGGAAACCCAAACGCAACATGCAGCCCATCCACACCAACAAGGAGGCATGATGGAACTTCCCTGAGCACATTGTCGGTTGTCAGCTTGCTTGTTTTTCTCCGCGAGGCTAGTCTAAAGAACAGCCTCTCCGCCAATAGGGAAGCCTCAGTGAAATGGGCCTTTGGTAGCATCTCTTGCGAAAAAGCTGCAGCGCCACTCGACTGCACTCAAACTCACTTCCTGAGTGGACTGACCAAACAAGTCTAAACTGTTTGCTTGCCAAGGATGAACTCCATGAACTCAGGAAGTGAGAAAATCATGGCTGGTGCAGTGGGGAACCATTGATCCTCATTGAAACGGTTCAACGGGGGCAAAACCAAAGGCATGCACCTCAAAGCAACCATGCACTAAGCCTGAATTACTGCTTGCAACGATTGCAACGGCCATGGAAAGAAAATTCATGTTGGCCATGTATATTTCCTCTTACAACCAAACGCCTCGTCTCAACGTGGCCTCCCTTGGTGATTTCTTCCAAAGGCAAACTCGGAGCGCATTCGTGGCTGAACACAGCTGAAAAGGACTCGCAGCTGGAAAATGCTGATCGCCAAATCGATCCAAGGTGCCAAGTCTTTGCGCACAGTGCCTGCGATTGCGTCAAGCAACATGTGTGGTGCCTATCTGTTCGTGTTCCATTCAGGGAATCGAAGGAAGCTTGGGCCAAGTTGCCTCAGAAAGAAGCAACAGCTTATTGAACTGACGAGTTTGCCAGTTAAAAAACGACAAAGGCAGGCAGTCGGAGGCTTTAGGCGACCAATCTCAGAGCATCACTTTGCTGCCGAACTTTCTGCATGTGTCAACGCCGGCCCCCCTGCCCAGCCCCAAGTTTTGGCGCGTCGGTGCCCTCTCTGGCAGTTGGTACACCCTTGCTGCCTTGTCTGGTGGCGCCAACAGCAAAACCGGCCATGTTGGCGGGGTTCCCTATAGAAACACTTGTTTGTTGGTTCCAAAGGCAACCCAATAGGAACAACAGCCAGGTTCTCCCTTTAAACAAAATACTGTTTGGTTGTTTTAAAGGGAAACCAAAAGGAAGCCCACCCTGAGGGGCTCCAGAAAATCGAAAATCGGCCACGGCTTTTTCCATGGGCCTGCCACAGTGTAGTCCTGGCGTCGCACCGGAGCCAAGGTGAAGCCGTCGCACTTGCGGCGCATCTCGTTGACCCGGAGCAGCGCGAACTCGAAGGCCTGAAGCCCAGGCCATGGTGAGGTGTCGTGCTGCTCGTTTTGGTCGCTTTAAAGGAAAGCAAGAGGAAAACCATTTAGCCATTTTGATGTGTGGTTTTTGGGAGTTGGCAACCTTTTTTGTTTGGCTTACAGGGAAAGCAAAAGGAAAACCACCATTTGGGGGGATAGTACCCCTTGTTGGCTTTGAAGGGAGATCTAAAGGAAGACCACGGCACCATGTTCCCCAGTTTCCAGAAAACGGCCCGTTGCTTTGACTCCTAACCAGAAATGGTGACCATACAGCCATTGGAGCGAAAAAAGAGCCTCCTGGTTTGTAGTCTTGTTTGCTCTTGTGGTTCTTGCCTTGCCAATGTTTGACGTTGTTAGTTGATGTTGGCGTGTTTGTTGCACAAAAATATATTCACCCTTCACTCTTCCGTTTGGATCGCTTTGAAGCCAGGCAACTCTGTGCCCAAGCATGGTATGCTTCCTTCATCGTTTAACAAACGCAGGTCTGCCGGCCGTTTCCTTCCAAGGCCTCCCGGGCAGACAGGAAGTTGTCGGGCAGGGCACACCATTGGCCCTTCGCGCAGTGACTGGTCACGGCCACCTGATCCATATCGATACGCGCAGTCGCTTCCAGTACGTTGCCCAAAGGTAGTGGAACTAAAAGGTGATCACCGTTTGGGGCCATGACTAAACATGGGTACCAAAATGGGAAAACCTAAAGGTCCAAAGGTCGGCTTTGAACAACTGAGAGTAATGCTGACCCCGGATTAATAAACCCTGTCTTTTTTACTATGGGGGTGGGGGCCCCTCCAAAAGTGATCTGATCCCCCACTAAAACCAGGGACACCCCCATATCAATTAACTGGGATTGATTAATCCGGGGTCACCATCTGGGTTGCACCTTCAGCTTTCAGTTCATGCAAGGGTTGTGGAGGGGCATGCACGGCCTTTGTCTAAGCAGCACATAGGGCGTGATGCAATGCAAGCGGTCAAGGTGCATCGTGAAGCACATGGCACTGAGCTGCCAGCTGGGGCAAAGGACAGATCCGCTTTGGCGGACAGCGCCAGGAATGCCGCCAGGAAGGCAGGCATGACGAGTCAGTTAAGAAGGAAGGCATGCCAAGGAAGGCATGCCGCCAGTGGCTGAAGCTCTTGCACTCAGAAGAGACAGTGTGCGGAATCGCTTAATCCGGCCTGTTAACGGATCCTGCATTGGTAAGAAACCGTGCAACCCCAGTTTCTACGATGTGTCGAGAGGGGCACTCATCTTGTTAAGCAGCTACGAGTGGCATCTTCAAGAAGTTGCTGGCCATTGGTGAGTGGTCCATGTTGTTTTTGGGACGTCGCCAGCCAAGACTTCAAAAGCCATCATGTGCAGCTGCAGAATCAGCGAGTGTCTGCTGGTTACATGGGCTGGATGTGCCAGTCTGCTGACGGAAAACACCAGGCCATCCACTTTGGGATGCGCCAGAATGCTTTGAGCCAACTTGAGCGACGTGTGCAGTGTTAGCCTGGCACTAGCTGTCCTTAGTTCGCTTAGATCTGCTCTTGACTCATTGACCCGTGTGCTCAAAGGCGAGCAACTTGAGCAGAATTGCAAGTGCCAATCTGGTCAACAGTTCCAATGGCATAACCACTCTCTGGCGTGCTTGACTTCTTGCATCACACGGTAAGTTGTCTTGCAGTCGCTACAAAAGTCCTCTCAAACGACTACATCGGTATCGCGACCATGAGAGTGTGTCATTCTTAGAGTTTTGCATACACCCTGCACGTATGGTCCGAACGGGCTATGCCCACAACATGTCCTGGTACGAGCATTAAGACATCGCGCACACACACGCACAAACAACAGTCGCGCAAAGAGGAACCTCAATTTGCAAACGCATTTCAGGCCGTTCTTGCGGTTGTCAAACAAACATACAACCTGGAAGCGACATGTCCATTTGAGGAGGATTCATTGCGCGGGCGCTAGCATGCTTCAGGTCAATCAAGCATATTCGGGGCGAAGGCAAATCTTCAGGGGAGAGCATGGAAGCCCTGTTGTTGACCAAGAGTTGTGGTTGGTTTACTTTGCAAAGTGGGTGCCTTTTGTTTCAACGTACCTTCCATTTGGGTAAGACCCTTGGAACAAAAGTAGTGATACATTCCCTTTAGAATCAACAGGGGAAAATAAAAATAAAAAAAAAATAAAAATAAAAAAATATTCTTAAACAAATGGAAGGTACCCTTTTCATCTTGGTTTAAAGGGACAGCCACAACGACAAGCGCACCCCCCCATATTGACACATGAATATTGAGTCGGAATCAAGCGAAGTCGATGCGGCCTTGGCTTTTTCAAGCATCTTTCCTTGGCAAGCCGCCAGCAGTCAGACAGCTTGACCTTGGCGCAAATGCTTCAGTCGTAAGTGTAGTTGGATGAAAGCTCCAGTGGATGGCGAATTGAAGCGCAACCTATAGGAATTGCCATCCCCATGTTGGCTTCAACACAACCAGGAATGGGTGTCGTAAGTAGATGGCGAATTGAAGTCCAACTCGCATCTTCACCACAACCAGGAATGCCATGTGCCTCCGTCCCTTCTCGCCAACTTGTGAAGCCAATCTGTGGCTAACAAGTATGCTCCAAACAGCTCTCTGGGGTACACCTTCAGGGATATATGACACCAGGTCTCATGAAATGTGTGTGTGTGTGTGTCCTCTGACCTAGTCCACAAGGGCTGTTGCTGCGAATTTAGCTGGAGGGATAACTATTACCTCTGACCGAACCTCAAAAGGCCACAAGGATGTTTGGAGCATGCCCTCGCAAATGAACGGGGCATTTTGGTTGGTTGGCAACCACCTTAAGGATTTTGGGAGCCAAGTGTTGAATCCCGGGCCTAAGGCGTGCGCCCCATAGTGACAAATCCCCAAAAGGGGACAGCCCTTGCTAATCATACCGGGCTTTATGAATGCGGGGGTCCTATTAGTCCTGAGCCCCGACTTGCTCTTGGCAGAAGTAACCGTTTTGAAAACAACAACAAAAACAAACGGATGGGGTTTCCCTGTAAATGGTGGCAACAAAAAGCCCACCTAAACCAGTGGAACCCATCTATTTCAAACCAACTCGGTTGCTGTTGACCCCTCTGCAAAAAGTTTAACTTTTGCGATGTACCAAAAAGTTAAAGTCTAAAGATCCAACCCAACAGCACTCGAGCAAACTGATCGATCAAAAGGACACCTATGGCTCTTGGGCCTATCCTCAGCTTCAGGCGCAGCAGGAATCCAACGGGGGCGGATTTTCGCCGGTGCCTAGGATGAATCCGGCTGGTCCCGTTTATTTTCAGAGTTCCGGCTGTTCACAAAACGTGCTGAACAACTAACCTTGATTGAAATCATGTGCTTGAACACCATAAACCCTAGACGCCGTAGAAAGAACGAGAAGGTGGCAGTACAGCTAGACACGGACCGAAGATAGTTTTTCCCATCGGGAGAAGTGAGCATGTCTCGTAGAATATCCCGGAGAATGAGTGAGACGATAACGGGGCCGAGAAAGCCAATTACTTTGTAGAGGCATTCCATCTAAAGACGCCAACAAGAAAGGCCTCCAGCATTCTGTCCGTTTGTGGATGAAAGACGCATTGCCATTTTTCCCCACCCTTCCGGAATGTTCGCAACAATTCAAGCACGAGTTTTGGCCAAGCAACTGTAAAATCATCAAATTGGAACGGACCCCACAGGGAAACTAACCATTTTTTGGGTGGGGGTAGCCTAAAAGAAAGACGCATCCAAGGCTTTGGGCCATTGGTTCTACGTAAGTAAGATGGCTTCAGCCACGACCACTACCTAGCGGGCAGAGCACTTGTTTTACTTCCTTGACGTGCAAATCTTGGGTTTATTCAAAATCCCCAAAGTTGGAACTCTGGATTTCTGGATCTCACATGGATGGGCCAAAACAAGTCTGAACTCTTTATTTACCACTAGAATGGTCAACCCAAAAGTTTAGAGTCCAGGAACCCAGGAAGTGAGGGATTTTGCAAAAGAAAAGCAACAACGAAACCAAACGCTGGTGTCCGGCAGAAAAAAACCAAGTTGACCCCAGAGAAACACCAGCCGAAACCGGAGATAGTTTCAAGCCGAAAGGCGGTTGGTCAACTTGTTCTGTGAGCTTGAAGCAACCAATTCCAAGTAATATCACTAGAGGTCGTGTCTTCCCATCGTCCGCCTTTCTCACTGGAGCCTTTCGGGTAAAAGAGTCACAGCAATGTCAACATCCCTTACAACCCACGACTCTAGATGTTCAAGGGAAGCCACAAATTTCGGAGGTTCCATCTAACCCTTGAGCCCCGCGCCTCCCTTCAGAGACTCAATCCACTGCCCAAAGTCCGGGCGGCGCTTCTCCTGGAACCGTGTGCACATGCCCGGCGGTGGAGTTTCATGTGGATACCCGTAGCCGTTTTGGACTCCTGGGCGCTTCCCAGAATTTTATCAGAAGGCTGGAACTACCGGGCGACCCAACCAAGGGGTGCAGGGGGTCATATATGGCTTCTCACATTCTGTCCTTGATGTCAACATCAGCTATGGGAAAGGGAGCAAAGGTCAAGACTGTGAGCCTGTGAGTTCAATCTTGAGAAGAAGGTACTGGACACTCCAGTGACCCTGCTAGGACAACGGAAGCCGTTCTTTGGGGGGCCAATAAACTGGGGCAAACAAAATGGGTTGACTGTTTCTTTGTGCAAGGCGTGAAACATGCGCTCGCAAGTGCAAGCCGAGCGAGCGCAGCTGGTACCGCCGGCGCAAGCAACAAACAACTAAACAACGCACCAAAGGGTTCAAGTTCCCCTCAACAGGGGGTCACTGGATTTGCACTTCAAAAGAAGCAATTTGCTGGTTTCCATGAAACTGCCACTTTTGGAGGTTCCCAAAGAACGGAAACGGCTCGGAAACCCTGCTTAAGGATGGATTTGTGGAGGTGAAAAACGTCTCGCTTGCAGAAGGCGCTTGGACCATCTGGAATTCACACATTGCAGGTGCCACAAGAGAAGCAGTGATACCTGAGCCAGGTAACAATTTCTGGCACCACTCATTCACAAATTATCCGTACTTTCTTTGCCAGAAACTGTCAGTGTTAGTTGGGCGTCCTTCCCTATCGCCTGAGTTGTTTCTCCCATCGCCTGGATGACGTCGATGGCTGATCGGCCGTTTCCTGGGGTAAGGCGCACTTGCAAACCCAAATGGGCGCGTCTTTTGTTTAAGGCACCCTGTCTGGGGTTGATTCAAAGGAAAACCAACAGTAAACCACCCATTTTCAAGGTTGCCCCTTCTTAGAGCAAAACTCAAACAACTGTACCCATGATTGGTCGAATACCTCAGTGGCTCGGAGGTGCAAGCGACCATGATATCTTTGAGTAAAGGCATGACCCGTGACAGGTGAGTGCGTGAGTGCACAACAAATGGGTGTACTTTGACTGATCCTCTTTGTCCACGAACTTCCCCGGAGTATTAAACGGGACTCCCCTCAAAAAAGCTGAATGTGGCTTTTAAGAAGGGACTTAACTGGCTCAGACTCCTCTTTTTCTTCTGTTTCCACTGCGTCGAGCAATTGTGTACGCAGGCTGGTCGGCAGCTTCATGTTTCAGACACGCAGGCAGCATGAAACAAAAGCGTCGGAAAATACTTTGGGGGGACCTTTATGATAAGAAGGGATTCATACGGAAAGGAAAACTACTCGACTTTTTCGGAGCTGGGGAATCCTCTTAATTGAAACATCCATGTTTCTCCTGTCCCTGTGGTTCAAGGCACAAAAAAGAACGCCCGGTGGATTTCCACGGGAAACCCCCCCTTTCCATAGCCCTAAAAAATGTTCGACGCCTCCCAAAAATATCCCATAGGATACCAATGGACACGTGCTGAGCGTGGGAACCCCGAGGAGGCGGCCATCTTGTAGGTAGATGTCAGCCCGGCAGCCTGACTTGATGTCCCCGGGGGAAAATTTCCTCTCGTTGCCTCGGGAAACTTTCGAGGGGTGGATTCCTTTTCCATTCCTTTCAACCATCCTTCTTTTCAAAAACGGATCGTTATTTTCCCTGGGTTTCCGGAGGTTTTCTAGAAAGAAGGAT